CTGGTAAATCAAATAAAACAGTAATAAGTATAGTTACATTTACTGAGCATGAGTTGGAATTTGATTCCCATCCACATAGACTCTGGGGATATGGGATATCTGGGGCCACTCAGAACCATAATCGCTATCTCCACCTTTTATATCTAACATCGGACAATCCGAGATGTTTAAGGTGATGAGACGTAGCATGGCTTCCTTAGACGAGCAAATCCTCTCCCAATTCCACGACGAGCAACAGCAGAAGCAGCGGCGGCAGAACAACCGCGCCGGCGAGGCGGATTTGGTTTGCGACACCGCGGAGTCGTGCTGCGGCAGCAACTTCGACGAAATCGACCGGCGCGGGCTAGCATTGGCGGAGAGCGCTGCATCGGACGGCACAAACATCGCCGGAGACGGATGCATTGCGGCGGCGGCGAGCAGCAGGATGTGCCGGAGCTGCGGGAAAGAGGAATCATGCATGTTGCTTTTGGGATTAAATTAAATTAGGATTGGGATTAAATTAAATTAAATTAAATTAGTTTTCTTAATTGGAGCTAAACATGCTCAAAATCTGACGGGTTCGGCCATAGCAGGAGCTCTGGATGGTGTGGGGACGATGGGGAGGCTGATTTTGGGTTTTTTTTGTGGATCGGACGGAGGACGGTGCGTGTAGAGAATTTCGCGCAGGCTGAAACCTTAATCGACTATGTGCATATTCAAAGTCGATTAAGCTAATCGACTATGTTCTGGTAGTCGACTAAGGTTGATCGACTCCAGTTTTTTTTTTTTTTTTTTTTTTTTTGGATTTCTCATTTATTGATTTCAATTGTATAAATCATTTATAATGTTTGAATATTTTTTATTTTTTGTAAAATATAGTTGTTTTTGCATTTTTTCGCAGTTGTAATTTGTTATGTTTAGTAACAGATTCTTAATCGACTATGCTTCATCATAGGCGATTGATATACCTCATGTAGAAAAAAAATTAAAAAACAATTTTTTTTTTAAATTAAAGAATTTCCTTAATCGACTATGAAGCATAGTCGATTAAGGCTAATCGACTATGCTTCATAGTGCCTTAATCGACTATGCTTCATAGTCGATTAAGGAAACTGATACAGAAAAGACGGGAAAAAAACAGGAAAAAAAAATCGATGAGCGCGTGACCCAGTGATGATGTGGCGGGCGAGGGCAAAGCTGGAAAACATAATGGCTCAAAATGGGTGTGGACTTTTCTCAAATGGACTGAAATATTTTGGACCTCTCTCCATTAAAAAAAAAGGGGCAATTTGCTATAGGTCCTCCTCTAAGAGATTATATGTGTTAAAATCCATCTAATAAACTCTAATTCCCAGCAGATTTTATTATATGTAATTTGTCAAAAATACCCCTATCAATATATGGTAAAATAAATCCTCAAAATCAAATCCCCAATTTTTCTCCCTATATTATACAACAAATCCGAAAATTAGGACTGCAACTCTCTTGATATCGATTCTTCCCTGTTTTTTCAAAACCAAAATCACCACAAATTTTGAAGCCTTCCATAGATTTGGGTGTCTGAGCGTTTGCAGTTTACAAGGTCGTTTGCAGTTTGCCTTCATTCCCTTTTCCTTCGTTCGATTTGTTGTTTACCAATTTTCCTTCGTGTCGTTTGCTGTTTAGAAATTGTTTGTTGTTCGGTAACAACTCAGGTTGTAAAAAATGCACCACCGCTACGAACGTCGCGCCACTGCCGCAACCGCCTGCTTATGTCTCTATAAAATGCAAATAGCAAACTAATAATTAAAACTTGCATTATTGAATTTAAAACAACAAACTACCTATGAATTCACCAAATACAAACAATCAATCGAACAAGTAAAAAAATCAGCATCATCTAATTACAAAAAATAAAATGAAAATATAATATGCAATATCTAAATGTAAATAATAAAAATAAAAATACAGAACAAAAATATCATACATATCATAAAAATGCAAAAAATAACAACAAAATTATAAAAAATATTCTATCAATGCAAAATTGCAATTTGCAGTTTGCAACAAAATCTACTGTTATCGATTGCAATTTGCAGTTTGTAACAACAATTTGATTTTGCAGTTTCATTATTTTGTTTTTTGCTATCATACATATCATAAAAATGTAAAAAATAACAATAAAATTATAAAAAATATTCTATCAATGCAAAAATTGCAATTTGCAGTTTGCAACAAAATCTACTGTTATCGATTGCAATTTGCAGTTTGTAACAACAATTTGATTTTGCAGTTTAATTTTTTGTTTTTTGCTATTTATTGAACCAAAATCAGTTAGAAATACAAACAAACATTATAAACTCACTACAGATAAATACAAAACGAGAAAAAAAAACTCACCTTGTGCAAGCAATGAGCGATTTATGTTTGTTGTCCGCTTTTAACTCTTTCACCGAAAAATCATCTAATAATGTAAAGCTTCAATTTTTTTTCCTTCCCTACAACATAATCCAAAAGAATTGAATTCCAAAGAAAAAAAAATCGAACAGATGTAATCGAGAAAGGGTATAGAGAAAGAAAGAAGTTGATCGGAAAAAAAAATCGAAAAGTGTTGATCGAAAAGAAAAAAAAATCAGAAGAAAAAAGCCAGAGACACGAGATGGAGAGGAAGAGAAATATGAGAGATTATATAGGAAGAAAGATACGTAAGATTGGAGAGAGAGAGTGTATGAGATTTGTTTTCTTATTAATTGAGGGTGTTTATGTCTATATACTAATTGTTTTATTTTATTTATATTATTTTTTTGTGATAAAGGACCTATGCCTATATTCATCTAGCAACTAGGATCCCTACCTATATAAGTCCAGAATAAGGGGTGTCTAGCCAATTTCCCCTAAAAAAATAATGAAGGGTTTCCTCAAATAGCCACTATATACATTGCATTTTAAGATTTAAGTTTTGTAACAGCTACTTTTTAATAATTAAAAAAATATTTATATGCAAAACAATTAAATAAAACAACAAAAAATAAAAGAAGTAAAAAAAAAAAAAGGAAATTAAAGAGGTTGGCGCGTGCTATGATTAGCAGGGTCATCTCGGTTTATATTAATGCTACAGCGCGTAAAACACATGAGATAGATCTATTCCATCCATTGGGATAATTACAGTTTTCACCCCTCAAGTTTGCACTAATTCCACATTTGGTCCCTCATGTTCACAAAAAAACACATTTGGTCCCTCATGTTTGAATAATTTAAAACTTTTGGTCATTCCCGTCAATTTACCATTAGTCCGCTGTGACGGTGATACGATATATTATTAAATATATCGTTTAATTATTAGTTAGTTATTATTTTATTATTAATTAATTATCATAGTATATTTATATTAGATATAGCCGTATGTTAGTTTAGGGTTAGGATGATTAGGAGGATTATTAAGTATTTAATTAGTATAGGTAATTATCTTTCCTAGTTAGATTAGGATTCTAGGGTTTTATTATCTTTAAATAGTCGTTTTGTGCTAGGGTTTTATAATGCAGAGAGAAATATTAAAGAATAGATCTTACGTTTCGTAGGAAATATTTATGATACTCAAGAGATTGTATCAATTGGTATCAGAGCGAAGTTGCGATTAACACCAACGCTTCGTTAGCAAGGCAGCGATTACATCAAAGCTACGCTGGAGCAAAGTTGAGATCACATCAAAACTTTGTGAAAATCATGATGTCAGAAACAAGACGGTTGGAGCGATTGGAAAAATCCGTAGAGAAATTACGGATTAATTTTCAGAAATTGCTCGAACAAAGTCAAGGACGACGTCAACGCCATCACAAAAGCCGAAGGGACCGCTGCCGAAGGGACCGCCGCCCGTCACCGCCACCGCCGCTGCCGCTGCCGAGCCTATTCCCGGACGAAGAGGAAGAAGACGACGATGACTTTTTCGAAGAGTCACCGCCACTACCACCGCCGCCGCCGTTGCCGAGCCTATTGCCGGAAGAAGAGGAAGAGGACGACGATGATTGTTTCGAAGAACCCCAATTTTTTGTGAGTTCGCCGAAAGATGAATTATCGGATTCACTTGAGGTAATTTGGGACGAAGGTGAGGAATTAACTAAGGAAGAGAACGAAGAACTACAGTGGATATTAGAAGAGTCCCACGATATTCAAAAGAAAGGAGACGAACAAGATTTGGTGACTGTGAATGAGCCCGGATCTGTTAAGACGACCGAGAAAAATAAAAGCATGATATTGATTGTGAAGGAGATGAAATTTGAAAAGGCAATTGAGAAGGTTGATTTGTCGGGAAAAAGATTGAATATTTTCGCTAAAGTAGCCTTTGTTATTTCATTGGATCAGCATGAACAATGTGGTAAAAAGCTCGGTCGTTCATCGTGTTTTTCGGAGTCAATCGGGAAGCAAGTCGATAAAGTCAAACATAGGTGGAAACGCAAAGGAGAGAGACCAAATTGACTCGAACCTTGAGGACAAGGTTCATTTCAAGAGGGGTGGTTTGATACGATATATTATTAAATATATCGTTTAATTATTAGTTAGTTATTATTTTATTATTAATTAATTATCATAGTATATTTATATTAGATATAGCCGTATGTTAGTTTAGGGTTAGGATGATTAGGAGGATTATTAAGTATTTAATTAGTATAGGTAATTATCTTTCCTAGTTAGATTAGGATTCTAGGGTTTTATTATCTTTAAATAGTCGTTTTGTGCTAGGGTTTTATAATGCAGAGAGAAATATTAAAGAATAGATCTTACGTTTCGTAGGAAATATTTATGATACTCAAGAGATCGCATCAGACGGACACACACATTCCATTAGTACTAACGGAAAATTGATAGAAACGACTAAAATTGTTAAATTTTGAAAACATCAGAGACCAAATGTATTTTTTGTGAACATGACGGATCAAATGTATTTTAGCGACGAAAACTGTATTTTTTCTGATCCACATATATATCTATCTATATAGAAAGAAACAAAAACCCCACCTGTCTCTACATATGTATATATATGTGTGTGTGTGAATTTATTCAAAAATAGCATATTCAAAGGAAAAATGATGAAAATGGATAAGGAGAAAAAAGAACATAGAGTACATATCTTGTGTGTACCTTATCCAAGCCAAGGCCATGTAAACCCAATGCTCCAATTCTGCAAACGCTTAGTCTCCAAAGGAGCCAAAGCCACCTTCACCATCACCAACTTCATCTCCAAATCCATCAACCCTAAATCCGACTCCGTCGATATCGCGTCCATCTCCGACGGCTTCGACGCCGGCGGTTTCCAGCAAGCCGAGAGCGTCTCCGATTACCTAAACCGGATGGAAGTCGAGGGCTCGAGAACCCTAGAAAATCTCATCAAATCGTACCGAGACCGAAATTTGGCCGTAGATTGCATAGTTTACGATGCGTTTTTGCCTTGGGTTTTGGATGTGACGATGAGATTTGGTATAAGGGCGGCGTGCTTTTTCACGCAGGCGTGTGCGGTGAACTATGTGTACTATTATGTGCACCGTGGGTTGTTGGATATTCCGGTGGTGACGCCGCCGCCGGTGGAGATTCCAGGGCTGCCGCCGCTAGAGTTGCCGGACTTGCCGTCGTTCATGCACGTGAGTGGTTCGTACCCGGCTTACTTCGAGATGGTGCTGAATCAGTTCTCGAATGTGGACAAGGCTGATTTTGTGCTTGTCAACACGTTTTACAAGTTGGAGGAGAAGGTAAAATTATGCTTTTATAACTTTAATTCATTATTAAAAAAAAAAAAAAGGATGAATGGTTTCATAAAGAAAAACTTAATTCATAAAGAGAGAGAAAAAAAGGAATTATATTGAATTAATGATGAATGGTTTGATCATTGTTAACTGAATTAAGAATTATTACGAGGAAAAAAATACAGTTTTCGTCCTTTAAGGTTGCACTGATTTCACATTTGGTCCCCATGTTCAGAAAAAAACACATTTGGTTCCTTATGTTTAAAAAATTTAACACTTTTATTCCTTTCGGTCAATTTTTCGGTTAAACTAACGGAATCAAGTGTGTTACATGACTGTCTTAACTAACAGTCTAACGGTCAATTGACAAAAATGACCAAAAGTATTAAATTATTGGAATATGAGGGACCAAATGCGTTTTTAGTGAACATGGGGACCAAATGTGAAATCGAGGCAAACTTGAGGGACGAAAACTGTAATTTCCCGTTATTCTGATATATAAAATAGTCTCATTTTGAAAAGCAAATATAATATGTAACGATTACATTATCTAATTAAACATCAAAAAAAAAATACTAGAGTTGTGTTTTTAATTAGGTCAAATTGGTATAAAAAAGTGGGTTGGATTTACAAGTTTGGATTAATGATAAAAATAACACCACATTAGTTTATGTTAATTTTATAGTTTTGGATATTTAACAATGAACTACTAATACTATTGGACATTTTAGAAGACTCTTTTATCCAATTTTTTTTTTTAATGAAGGAACCGACAGCTAATTATATAGGTGCATTGGGCAAACTTTACACCCTCGTATAAGAACTTGCAATACGAGAGACGTAAAAAATACTAGGCTAACCATGTGTGACAAGCTCCACCCAGCAATAATAATAATAATATTATTATTATTATATATAGTGAAAGACGTAGACGACTCTTCTTATCATTATCGATGTAAAAATTTGAATATCTCAATCAACTTTGTCTTTTTTGAAATATTTGTGCCTGCATCACTATCAACGTATGGAAAGTGGGGCAACCAAGAAAAATAGAAAATAGAAAATAGAAAATTAAATCAATCTATTTTTTTATTACATATTTTTTATGTACGTAAATGTTTGCCAATTCTTTTCCAACGACAGGTTGTGGATTCAATGACAAAAGTGTGTCCAATGCTAACAATTGGACCAACACTCCCATCTTTCTATTTGGACAACCGTATCGAAAACGACGACAAATACGACGTAAACCTCTTCCAATCGGACCCCTCGCAAACAATCCTCGATTGGCTAAACACAAAGCCACCAAAATCGGTCGTCTACATAGCATTCGGCAGCATGGACAATCTCCCCAAAGCACAAATGGAAGAGATTGCATGGGGCTTGAACAACACCAATTTCGACTTCCTTTGGGTCATTAGGGTTTTCGACAAGGAAGAGAAGCTTCCGGAAAGTTTCGTCCGAGCCTCGTCCGAAAGGGCACTGTTCGCGCACTGGAGCCCGCAGCTGGAAGTTCTGTCGAACGAAGCCATAGGTTGCTTCTTCTCGCACGGCGGTTGGAATTCGACGACCGAGGCGTTGAGCTTGGGTGTGCCGATGGTTGTGATGCCGCAGTGGACGGATCAAACGACGGATGCTAAGCTCGTGCAAGATGTTTGGGGAGTGGGGATTAGGGTTAGGGTTTCCGAAGAAAATGGTATTGTGAGGAGAGAGGAGATTGAGAGTTGTGTAAGGGAAGTGATGGAAGGGGAGAAGGGGAAAGAGATGAAGAGGAATTGTGTTAAGTGGAGGGATTTGGCTAAGGAGGCAGTTAGTGAGGGTGGTACTTCTGACCTAAATATTGATGCTTTTATTTCTAAGTTGGAATGTTCTTGATTTAGTTATCTTATCTTTGAATTGAGATGTGATTCAAGAAAATGGTGTGATTATTAAACCAAGGCCTAGGTTCTTAATAAAGTATGATTGGTTTGTAGGATGGGATTATGTATGTGAATTAATGTGTTATAACAATGTCATCTAAAAATGTTGGATTGTATTTCTCTAAAAAAAAAGTGTTGGATTGTACAATCTCACCCCATATATAGAGGGAGGGGCAAATTACAGCCACTGTCTACGAAATCATGGTTTCGTCACTGCCTACGAAATAAAAATGGGAAAAATACTTTTTTCGTTTCTCAAGTTTGCACCGATTTCACATCTGATCCCCCATATTTACAAAAAATACATTTGGTCTCTTATGTTTTAAAAATTCAACACTTTTAGTCATTTCAGTCAATTTTCCGTGAAAACTAACCGAATCAAGCATGTTCCATGATTTTCTTAACTAACTGATTAACGGTAAATTGACGAAAGGACCAAAACTGTTAAATTATTGAAACATGAAGGACCAAATATGTTTTTTTGTGAACATGAGGGACCAAATGTAAAATCGATGCAAATTTGAAGAGTGAAAACTGTAATTTCCCCGAATAAACATTTATGGTGAGTGAGTTTCAACAAATTTCTTGTTGATATTTATGGAACATATTATTCTTATACCAACTTAGCACATCCGGAACCAGTTGAGCTATTGGCCAGTATGCTATACCATGCGGGCCGTAACATATTATTCTACTTCCCACTTCACGTTGTTAAAGCTAATATTCCCACAAACATTAAAAGATTCCATCTCCATTTCTCCTTCCAAATTCACCAATTTTTCAGACATAAAAATTAATGTTTTCCTACACCTTTGACGATCAAGAAAACCCATGGATGTTTCCAAATTTCTTCTTCTCCCCTTGTTCCTTTTCAGTTTTCACAATAATTTTCGCAATCATAAAAAGAAAACGGCCCACCTCTCAAAAACCCATCAAGCCGTCGCCGCCGAAGCTTCCAGTAATCGGAAACCTCCACTAATTAGGGTTCAGCCCCCACAAAAACCCTCCACTCTCTATCAAGAAAACACGGCCCTTTTAATGTTTCATCAGCTGATTTAGCTAAAGAAATACTGAAAATCCACGACCCAATTTGCTCCAACAGGCCCGAATCAAGCGTGGCGCGTGGTATTTACGACTGTGAAGACATCGCCTTTTCAACATACGGCGAGTACTGGAGGCGCGTGAAGAGTATTTGCGTTAACCAGCTTCTGAGCATTCGAAAAGTTCAGTCTTTTCGGAATGTTCGGGAGGAAGAGGTTTCTGTTATGTTGGAGAAGAGCAGACAATTCGTGTAGTGAAAAACGTGTGATTGATTTAAGGATGTTTTGGAGAGGTTAGGGGTTTTGTTGGGTGGTTTCGAAATCGGGGAGTTACGTTCCTTGGCTTGTTTGGGTTAAATATGTTAATGGGATGAATCGTAAAGTTCGGGGAGTCGAGGAAGATCTCGATGAGTTTTTGGATTTTGTTGTGAAGGAGCATTTGAAAGGTGGTGGAATTCGCGGAAACGAGAAGGATTTTGTCGATGTGTTGCTCGATATTCGGAGGAACGATGAGGGTGGTTTTGTTCTTGAAGAAAGCTCGATCAAAGCTCTTGTCTTGGTAATGTTTGCATTGCGTTTTACAGTTCTTGAATTGAATTCTTGATTAAGTGGAACAGGGTGCCTCTGTAGTTTGTTATGTCTGTGTTCTTGGATTTTTTATTATTGGGGCAAATTACGGCCACCCTCTAAGGTAAGGCAAATTACGAAAATAATCCCTCATGTTTGCATAATTACAACCACCCCTTAATTCCGGTTATTTTGGCCTGAAAATGGGTGAAAAATGGCAATGTGGCATAACTTATTGAGTTCGGGTGGGATCGGAGTTTTTTTTTCTTTTCTTTGTTGAGGTGGTAATCCGCAAAAATAGGCAAAGTTTAGGCGGTTTAATGCTAGTTACCCATATATTTTATATATGTAGTTAGTATTTAAACTAAAATTAATTAAGAAAATAAAAAATTAAATCAAATTTTTAAATATTTTGAATAAAATTTTGGTAATTCGGTTATTTACCGAACCGAATGGTAAGCGGTATGAAATTTTGGCGTACCGAAGTTGCAGTACAATTTTACCGAATGAATGCCCTTAAATATACCGACTTGAAGGATTTTTTCGTAGTTTGACCTTAGCTAAAGGGGGTTGCCGTAATTTGCCTTTAATATTATTTTTTTAGTTTCTTTCTTTTCTGTGTTTGTAGCAAATGCAATATACATAAGAACCTCGATAAATTAATAACCTCGCGTAAATAATAATTTCTTTCGGCCCGAGTCGGCAAAAATGTACTAAAGTATTAACTCGATAATTTAATAGTTGGCTAAATTAATAGAATTTTGCTAGTCCGGACTCTGTGTTAATTTATAGAGGTTTAACTGTAGTTAGAAACTAATAATAAGAGGTTCAATTTATAGACTCAATTGAAATCTTCATGCTTTTGTATGACGAGAGACTGCAAATTAAACTCGAAAATGATTCGATTTAAAGTATTCTATCTCATCAAGATGATCACAATTTTAATAATAATCTATAACATGACATGTTTGCTGCTGGAATCGACACAACATACACACTACTCATTCCTCGAGAGTCAACCGAAAGGCACACGATTGGTTTTAAACGTGTGGGCTATTGTGAGAGAGATCCAATTTTGTGGGAAAATCCGGAGAGATTTTTACGTAATTCGGTGGAGCTTGTTCTTGCGAATGTTGTTTTAAGTTTCGAATTTGAATTGCCAGGTGGCGCGAGTGGAGAAGATTTGGATATGCGTGAAGGTGATGGACTTACTATTCATAGAAAATTTCCTCTTAAAGTTGTTGCTAGATGTGAATCTCTACCTTAAATCTGCTATGTTGATGAAATGTATGCATGCATGTATAATGTATTTTAACATCTGATACAATTTTTATTAATAATTCAATTTTCTGGATTATTCTACGAACACCGTATTTCGCTGTTTGTTATCTTCTACGAACACCGTATTTCCCGTATATAATGGATGTGACAAGCTATTTTCTGGGGTTTTTTTCTTCTTTTCTGATCGAACGGGATCTAGAGAAATTAAAGTGGATTGGTTCTTTTTCAAATTCAAATTTATTATGATAGATATAATAAGTTGAATTAGATTTACGTCGTGTTCGATAGGATTCTTTGCTTAATGCGGAAAGCTAAATCAATATTAGAATGGCTACGAGTTTCGGTTTCGGCAACGTAGCAATAAAAATAACATTTTTAGGAGGCAACGTGCAACAAAAATAATATTTGAAGGGGCAATATGCAACAAAAATGCTCAATTTCGATTAATAACTCATCAAAAAAATGAGAAATAACAAAATGACCACATTTATAAAGAAAATAGTAAAAAAGAAGATCAATGAATATGTAAACCAAATAAAATGTGGTAAATCCAAGAAAGAAGAAGAAGAAATATTATGTTGGTTTGGCACCGAATCCTAAATTAAAACTTTGCGGGAGGGGTGTCTAATTAAATCTATGAAATAAAAATAAAATCAATATGTATCGAAATAAATTTGAAATAGATTTATATATTTGTGTGCCTTGAGCATCCTATTCTATTTAAGCAACAAATTAAATTTTGATGCTGCAGGAACAAAAAGAAAAATAAATACAATAGAAAAAGAAAAGGAAAAAAAAAGAATATAATCTGGTAAATCAAATAAAACAGTAATAAGTATAGTTACATTTACTGAGCATGAGTTGGAATTTGATTCCCATCCACATAGACTCTGGGGATATGGGATATCTGGGGCCACTCAGAACCATAATCGCTATCTCCACCTTTTATATCTAACATCGGACAATCCGAGATGTTTAAGGTGATGAGACGTAGCATGGCTTCCTTAGACGGCAGATATCGCAACTTCTTGCAGCCGTATAAAGATAACATATGCATAGATGAGGACAAGTTGTTGTTGTCATTGTTATTGTTCCCAATTACCCAATCAGGCAATTCTTCCATCTCTCCAAAATCATATAACCGTAGCCGAGAAAGAGCAGTGAGATGTTGAAGCTGCCCCGGTAGTTCACGACTACGCTCTGTCCCGTGCAATGCTAATCCATAAAGAGATTTGGTTGTTGCTTTCAAGATGGCATCAACAACTGAAACTGAGTACTCATCACAACTGATTGATAAATCTATTAAGTTGCAAGGAGAAAAAGAACCAACAATCTCCCATGGATTATTAGTGGTTGGAACATCAACAATCATCAACTCAGAGAGACGAGGCATTTTCTGCATACAATACCCAATCAACGTTCCCATGTTCATCCTTAAATTCATTAATCCACTCAGTGTCAAACTCTCCAAGGACTCCACACATAACTCAATCGGCAAATTGGTCAGCTCATCGCAGTGTTCAATACTCAATCGACGAAGGCAACTCAAGCCTAACAATAATTGCTCATCAACATCATCATTATGTGTTTCATGTGGATATGGTATTGTCTTCAGTTTTGAGCATCCGTAAATCGCCAACTTCTCGAGAGCACTGAGGGTGTGTAGATCATCTGGTAATTCTCTCAATTCCGGACATTTCCGTATCTCCAAATTCCTAAGAGCTGTTCCTCCACCTTCCAAGCACGGAACTAGATGCGTTAAGTTACGACAGTCCGTTATCTCCAACTTCGAGAGATTTTGATTTTTAAGGAAAAGCCAATCTGGGAGACACGTCAATCCATCAATTAACTCAATTTGGAGCTTTGTAACAGAGATTAAGTTGATCCCACATATACTTGCCAAAGGTAATTCGCTCTCCACCTCACCAATCTCCAATTCTTTAAGGCATGGAAAGTGACTCGGAGCACTCTTCAATTTCCTACAATATTTAATCTGCAAGTACACGAGACGAGGAAATACAACAAGTCGTTGATCATTTTCAGGTGCTGCACTTGGCAATTCAGCTTCTAACCACTCCGTCAGCTCTGACATTCCCCTCAACTCTTTAAGCTCTCTAAATTTGGGTGGGGTTGGAGGCCTTCCAACACACTCTCATCGCCATTTCCACCTTCTCTATCTTCATTCCATGCAAGCTTTAACTTGACTATGTTTGGCTTTTGTAATAAACCTGCTCTCTTAGCCTCTTCTTTGTCATGCACCTTCTCAAGATTATAGATCTCCAGCTTTCCTTCCAGGTTCTTCAAGCATTCGAGCTCACTAATTCCACGACCCTTTTCATCACCCACTCCAAAGTACGGCAGTGTTCGAAGAGAAGTTAATCTTCTCATTCCTGGAGGTAATTCAATTCGAGGAATGTGGAGATGTCTTAAGTCAATCAAGTTCTTCAATGTGTTTGGCAGTTTCTTTAAGGTATGACATGATCTTAATGTCTGCAAGTGATATAGTTCACCAACAGAGTCTGGCAAACATTTAATCCTTGAACCTAAAATGTCAAGACATCTCAAATGCATTAGCTCTTTGATTGAACTTGGCAACTCTTTAACACAATAGTCCATCAGAATTAAAACATGCAACGATGTGAACTCCGAGAACACGAGCATGCATATTTTATCATTGAACAATAACGAACGAATACAACTTGCTTGTTCAGTTAGGCTAGTACACGATTCACCACTACTGGACTGCAGGCCCATGTACCGAACTTGGTCGCTTGAATTTAAAATAGAAGATGCAAGATCATGCACAAGATCGTGCATGTTATAATATGTTATATCGGCACCGCCATAATAGTATTTTCTCCCCACAACTTGTAACAACAAGGAGTTCTCTAGAAGTTGATTAAAGAATTTGTTGCCAACAATTTCCATGTCATCATTTCCTCCAAGGAATCCTTCTGCCATCCAAAGCTCAACCAAGCGTTCCCTTTCCAAGTCATATCCTTTAGGAAATATCGAACAATAAGCAAAGCACTTTTTGAGTGATGGTGGCGACAAATGATCAAAACTCAGTTTCAAAATCTTGGAGACTAGATTTTTATCTTTTAAATCTGAAAGCCATTTCTCATCAATCGACAGCCACTCATCAATCGACTTACCGCGCAACAATCCCCCAACCACTTTGGCCGCCAATGGCAAACCTCGGCATCTTTTTGCAATAGATATGCCAATTCTCTGAAATTCTGATGGAATATCACCTTCTCCAACGGATTTTGTTTTGATTATGGACCAACACTCATCTTCTGACAAGTTATTTAGCTTGTGCATAGTAGGGAGTGTTTTCACCAGTGAAACAACATTTTCACTTCGCGTAGTAACAACGATGCCATTTCCCGTAGCAGAAGTAATTTTTCTCAACGAATTGATAAAATCACTCCATATTTCATGATTTCCATTCCAAACATCGTCGAGAACAAGTAGAAATCTTTGAGCTCCTAACTTCTTTTGAAGCTCTTCCAGAACTGCCTGTTTATCGCCAAGTCCGGCGTTTGTTCCTGTTAACGATGTAAGAATCTTATTGAAAAGAATCTTGGCATCGAAGTTTTGAGAGACATGCACCCAAAAACGCTTAGCAAAATGAGCCTTTATGGCTTCATGATCAAGCACGTTCCGAGCTACCGTTGTTTTTCCGAGTCCTCCCATCCCGAAAATGGGGAGGATAGAGAGTACTTGATCATTTGGAAGAGTAGTCATCGCCTTCACTATTTCAGACACGTCACCTTCTCTTCCAAGAAAAATCGGATCGATATTGAATGCATCAGTTTCTAGGTGAGTAATCGGAGCATACTCACCTACCACTGTCTTTTCAAGGCCATATTTGTTTGCCTCGAGGTTGATCTCTTCCAAGTTTTGATTGATATCCTTGATTTTACGTGCCATTTTTATACGGCGAATACGACGTAGGATGAAGCCTCGTACCTTTGTCTTCGTTTTATTTTCTGTCTGAATTTGCTTGGAGAGAAGTTGATAGTTGATCTCATCCAAAACATTATCTGCATCGAAAGCCACAACTTCAAGCTTCTTCAACCAGCGTTTGACGGCTTCTCTGGTGATTTGCTGCTTGTCAGCATCGTCTAGGAAATCCTTAATCATTAAGACATAATCTTTTAGCTTTCTCAAATCTTTCTTGAAATCTCAAATGGGACTTATGATTTGCTTCTCCGAAACTAAGACCAGATTTTGAAGTAAAACTTGAACTGCAGCTCCTAGCACAGCTTCTGCTGCCATTGTTTTCTTTGAGAATGTGTGTGTATTTTTTTAGAGAGAGAAAGAGAGAGATTGAGAGAGAATGTTAAGCAAATTGCAAATGGTGAGAAATGAGAACTTTTGCTTTCCCTTGTTTCCAACCATAGTCTTCTTTCCAACCATGGTTAAGTGACTAACCATACCATTAGTAATATGGAATCTTTCCTAAAATTCATTTTTTTTTCTTATGTTCATACAACTAATTAACGTGCATATTCATTTTGAGGAAATTGGTGTTTTAAATATTTTTATTTTTCCCAAATAGTATTATTGTGAAATTTAATTTGATTTTTTCTTTTAAAATGGTGAAATAGTAATTTCTTTATGTATTTAATATTCATTAATTAATGATTCGTGGAATTATTTTTTAATTTGCTACATTTAAAAGGTTGACCCCTCACTCACAGCTGTGTGATAACTGTGTCTTGTCGGCAACGAGAGCCACTTTGGATGACTATTGAGATACACACACAAAACCAATCTATCATTTTCTATTGAGATAGTTTTCATACTCAAAACATTATCTTCTTAGCAGAAAAAATATCATAACCATTACCATTTAATATAGCTCAAACCATAATTATAATTTAGGACACACAATTGACTGGAATGGTACAAAATTTCTGATGTATTTGAGTAATTCATTTAGTAGTAAAATTATATCCTCCCTAAATTATTTAAGATTTTGCCAGATTATTTTTTTATTCATATTATGTTGAATTAAAAAATAATATATTATATATATATATATATATAAAATGGTCGGGTACCCGTGACCATAGAGCTAAAACCAGAACCATACCAAAACCATGACGGTTTGCTTTTCTTTTACCAAAACCATTACCAAACCCTAATGGTTTCGGTAGCGAGTTTGAAATGGAGCGGATAACCACAGATAGCTAGCGGATCGGGTTTTTTTGCCATCCCTACCTGTGTAATTTCTAATGACTAAAAAAGCTCATATGTCATAACAATTAGCACATACCCCTGTGTTGCATGGTCAATGACATTAAGGCCCCTACGAGATGGTCGTGTGATCCACTCGTCAAATATGCAACTGGGGTTCAATTTTTTGACGTGAAAAGACCCAAATACCCTTTAAATTATAAATTTCAAAAATAAGCCCCAAATAAAGTTTATATTTTTTCAATTCGGTCCCTTGGAGTTTCAGAAAGGCCCTCTTCTTCCTTAAGTCAGGGACTGATTTGCAATTTTCCGAAACTACACTGAACATAACTGACCGCCGCTCTCCTTCCAGCGAACACTCTCTCCGGCCTCACCTCTCTCCATATCCTCAGCCTCCGCTTCGCCCCACCACTCCAACATTTTCTCCGATGAAATTCGGTTCGGTTTGGAGCTAAGAGTCAAGCTCATGATTCTTCTGCAAAACCCATCAACAACCCATGAAAATTCAAGAAAATACATGCCCCCATCGAAAACAGAGCTTTTCAAAGAAAAAAATCAACCAAAAAAACTATTTTTTGCATTTTTTTGCGTCTTCTCCGTCATCTCCCGATAGTAGCCCACCATTATGCAGTGAACCAAATAAAATGCAACATCGGGGGGGGGGGGGGGGGGGGGGGGTAATTGCTAATTGTTTTAACATGGGGTTTTTTTTAGCCACTAGCAATGTGCACGTGCGTTGCACGTGTCGTAATATTATTATATGGTGAAAATAAATTTTCTGTATCCATATTAGAATACAATATGCCTTTTATAAAATATGAGTCAGTTGGTTTTAGACCAAAAACATATTGCTACTTCTGTAAATATTGGAGAAATGTAAACTACATCAAATCAAACTTAAAATGTCTCTCTTATCTTCTTTGTATTGCATATACATTGAAATTCAGGTGAATCCTAGGAAAACATATTTTTCGAGATTTATGATCAAATTTGCAGTCAATTACGAGATTTTGTTTAGTATTGCTATTGTAATATGGTAGTTGTTGAAGTTAATGATGTCTATGTGAAATCGTTGAAAACTAATACAACTCTTATAACTCTCTGGTGGGACATCAAATGTACTCATGATAACCAAAATGCATCATCCAATTGTAATGTTCCTCATGGCACACCTAGTCCTTATAGAACATGCTATGCTTATTATGGATTACCCGCTCTTTAACCAATTCCATTTTTTTTTTCTTATTGAACGATGAAACATACATCAGAAAAATAGACAAAAAACTCAGAAGCTTGTGCATTAACATAATTTCTAGCTAGCAATGAGCATGAATGTAAATTATGTTCCAAACATACTCTACACAAATTTAATTGGTCAATATGCTTCACAGTAGTGTAAAAAGAAGGTTAGGTTCGTGCAAACTTTACAAAGAGTATCACTCCACATGAACGCGAGTCTAGAGTTGCTCTATAATGGTCTCGATCGTTTAAGAGTTAGAGAATTTAGATAAATTCGAAACATAGAAGAAGAGAGGTTCTCATAAACAAAAAAGAGACTTGCATATTTTAATAACATACCTCATGGCATTTTGACTTTGACATACTATGTACTAGACCATCATCCTGTCAAAGTAATGACATAATAATATCACAAAGTGAAACTATGTCTAATTATAAAGAATAAATAATTCATGGAAGAACTTTAAATATTTTCCATAAGTTTGCATACAATGATATCTTTGATATGTTACAAAGATTGAAAGATATATCTCAAGTGAACTTGTATCTCAAGGGTAGTAAAATGTGCCTTCTTTCTTCTAGAGCATTGAGTTGATTGTCTATTTGAATGCATTCTAAAAGAGCGTATCAAGAGCATAATCTTGACCTGTATACAGTAAAACCTGCTACAATTCTAAATAAAACAATGAAATATATTAACGAAACTAAAACAGTTTGTCTTCTGCCATTGGTATGTCATGAAATATCAAAACAAAGAACGGACTACATGTACAACCATTTCTTCACTTAGCTTCCTAAAACTAACTATTTAGTAAAACCATTCGAGAATACAAGATTGAGCTGAAATTTATGCCTATGCATTTTGGGTGGCTTCATTTTGTCCTTCAGCTACCAGTTTTATCATCATGTGACTCCACCATGGATCGGAGAATCCATTTGTTGTTGACTCCACCTGTACGGTTGTACCTCCCCTGCCTGCTATGTCTAAGAAATATGATGTACATCCAACATCCTTATCTTGTAGTTTTGACGGATCACATCGACTTGCTATAAAGGGGAAAAAAAAAACCAAATATAACTGTTGAATGACCACCTCAACCAAAAACTTAAGCTATTATTATTTAATACTAATATCTCCAATTCGCCCCGTAAAGTTCAAGCAAATTACATTTGAAGTCTTGCACTTGAAATATTTGAAATGGATGGCGGTAGGATTCGAACTCATGACCTTTCATTTGGTATGACTCTGATACCACGTTGAATGACTACCTCAACCGAAAGCTTAGGCTATTAGTGAAGTGTATCATTTGTCACTAATATCTCCAATAATAACAGTGATAAAGCATATAAAGTATACTGGCATAATTCACTCTAGTATCCCCTTGAATGGCTCGTAGATTTTCTATAATAATATCTCCCAGAAACTCACCTGAATAGTAACGGGAACCAGATCGAAGATTTGTGTTAAAGGAATTTAATATCTAATAACATTAATTTTTTTTATGAGAGCACGACAACGAATACAAGTGTTTTACATAAGGTGGGAGGTATTATCTGTAGGAAGGAGAAGGAGACTGATGATTCAATCAGAGCCTAAAACTTAACTCATGATTTTTAATTTGGAGTAAACACAAAACTTACTAAATTGAAAAGGAAACTATCTATAGCCATTGGACCCTAATATTTAGAGAGAAAAAAATATGAATTGAAAAATATAAGAAGTTCATGAACAAATAAAATCACTAAAAATTCAAATAATATAGAAGATAAAACAAACAACGGGTATTAAAAATTTCGCCATCAAAATAAAAATCACGGAAACAAGTTTATATAAATAAATTACATGAGAAATAACTTTTAATTCCATGTTATATTTGTGTACCATTAGACAATATTAAACCATCTGTCAAGTGCATAAAACTTAGGGTAAATTCCACTTTCCCCCTTCTACTTTGGCTGAATATGATTTTACTTGAAAAATTGTCTCAATATGGCCATTGCCGTTAGTTTTCAGACCTTTGACCTTAACACCATTTGATCTAAGTCTGGAAATTACAAAAAACCACTCCTCCTAGCTTAAATAATTACTAAAAAATCCAAAAAATAAAAAATAAATAAATGGTGGCAGACGTCGTCGACTATGTTTTCTCGTTTCTTGATTTTTTTATTATTTTATTATTATTATTATTATTATTATTATTATTATTATTATTATTATTATTATTATTATTATTATTATTATTATTATTATTATTATTATTATTATTATTATTATTATTATTATTATTATTATTATTATTATTATTATTATTATTATTATTATTATTATTATTATTATTATTATTATTATTATTATTATTATTATTATTATTATTATTATTATTATTATTATTATTATTAAGGTTATAATCCTTCGAAG